GAGGAATTCATTTAAATTCTTCTTACCATGCGACCTCTTGGTTGTAGTGGTCAATTCTAGATTTCCCTTAACAAATTTGTCCATATATACATTTGTCATGAAAGATGAGAATGAGATCCCATCACTACTCCAAATATTTGCTTATATCTATTGCTGTAGGTGATCCTTACTATCAGGTTGATCGGTAGGATCAATGACTCTGCTTTCGGGATAGCCTCCTTGCGTTCCTCGATCTCCAGCAGGTCGGTGACAGCTTTATCGCCCGAAAAAGTTTGCATTCATGTTGACATATTCGTCCATTTATATGAGACATGAGCTACATGAGCCACTCTTCCTCATACAAATTTAGAGTGTTTAAGGGACCTTGATTCGTATCTCAAAAGTAATTCTAAGAATAACGACCCCTGCCAAGTGGGGCGACCGACTGGAAGCGAAAGATGTCGTCTCAACAAGTGATTCAAAAAGAGGGTTCTACTAAAGACAAAATGACAGCTACCCAAAAGAAGACGACTGTCTAATTCGCAAGACGCTTTCATGTGAAATGAACATTGTAAGTCATCAACTTGCTGGAAAAACTCCTTTTCTTCATTTATTCCGTCCTCATTGACAACTCATTTGACAACAGAACTTTCGCGTTCACAAGTCACACTTGCCTGCCATAGACGGTGTAGATTCCGACTCATCTGTCTCACGGAATTCCCCTTTCGGTACTGCCACTTGAAAAGTCCGGCCCATGGAAACGAGGCAATCTTGAAGAATGGTGCTGTCCTAATCTCAATTTCATTTGAAAATGAGCCATAAATTGGCCTCGCCGGACGCTGAAGAAGGATTGATGGTTGGATCGTGTGAGGAAAACCTCGACTCAACGTCATGAGCCTTCATCCATCATGCAATACACATCCTCAGAGCCAAAAAACATCATTTACGAATAATAATAACAATCAAAAATGCATTAAACCACTAAACCCTTTTTGATTTAATAGTGCATTTTGGTAATTGTTTGCAAAGGTTGGTTCCTGGCTTTGAGGATGTCCGTGACATGAAAATTGAAGAATTTTCTTTCACACACTCAGAGCCTCGATGAAGGTGGCATGTGAGGGTGGGAGAACCTCTTTGGCTTGTCTGCCTTCTGCTCTTGGTCGGCTTGGATTAAATCCCAGCTTCACTGTTCCACAGGACGGCATACTTCGTCCCAATGTTGCCGTCATCCTCCGTCATTTTTGTACTTTCTTTGACCACGACTGAAATTATGATGTGGTTCCTTTAGTAGCGTGCAAAATTGTGTCTGATGGAGAGGATTTTGGGTAGATCAGATTAGAAGACATCGGCTGATTTTCTTTATTTTTCCGTATTTTGATGTCACTACGACGTTCCTGTTAAAGCAGTTGATGAGACATCTGCCATCACTTCGAGGCAAAACGAGCCAACCTTACGTCCGCCATCATGCCACTTGAAAGAATCAGAATGTTATTGGAATAGCAAATTATGGAAACAAGAGATTGCTATTACAATCGACGACACTACTTATTATAGATATAAGTAGTTTTTCGAGACTATAAATAATTCTTTACTTGCCTTGACAGTTCTATGTGCGAAATGCTCACATCGCTAAGGTACTCTCGAGCCGGTATGAAATTTTGGAGGCAAGACAAAGTGGAACTCAATAGCATCATATGGTCTACTCAACTGATAGTTGGAAGACTCATCTTCCAGTCGCCAAATCGCTTAGGGTGACTTAGCTTCTACTCGTATTCATAATAAGTAGGTGCAGATAAAGTCTGTCAAGACCACAAAATGTGATTTTCGAAAAAAGCAAGGTGAAAAGTACAGTCCCCTCCATTCGAGATGAGAATAACTTATGAGGTGTAGGACTAAGTGAATTTCAATGGCTTTATTGTACAAACATTCAATCATGAGTCTTTCATCACCGTAGAAGACCTTGCGTGATTGGCAATTGACAAATAATGAAGTTTAACATAGAATTATGACAAACCAAGTTATGAGCACAATATTTCGTGTCTTGGGCTCCTAACAATTGAGCTCAAGAGAATAACTTCTGTACTACAGAAAAAAACGCTTTTTGACTCTTCGAAAAGCTAAGAGTCGTATTAACCCTTTTTCGTTTAAGGTGTTCAAGGGACTGCTAAATGAGTTTTTGCACAATCATATAACTATATCATACATTTGCATTGAATTTCATATAGCATTACTTTCTCAAAAGTTGTTCTCATCCACGTTGAAGTGGATTGCGGTATCGACCTCTCCTGGACTGGTCTCGTCGGTACACCCAACAACATTCGAACCATGATGGTACAGCGTATAATCTCGGCACGTTGCTCACAACGTCAAGCTGCCATGAGTGCCCTTGGGTCACAGGGAAGATGGGAATTTAAAGAAGGGACATACATTTTTCCACATCACACGTTGTGGTCAGATTGTCGATGAAGCAAAGCTGCATTTGCCATGGAAATAGACTACATTATTTGCTTTTCGTTTTATAAGAAGCTTTTCTGTACTACCCGTAGATTATATGCATGAGCTGTATTCGAACAGCCGGAGCAATAAAATGGGAATCTGAGATAAAACTAAAGCGCAAACAGGGTTTGGTTCTCCATCACCTTCCTCAAATGGTTTTGTATGTAGCTTTCGTCTGGTCTTTGTTGTATATGAGAAAAAAATTGGGTTTGAAGGAATATCCAGATTTATAGACATTGAATTCATTTGCGTCTTGGGTAAAATTGTGTGATGAATAGATTCGAAGGTCGATGCTAACAGAACAGATGCCAGATTCCTCTTGTCAGTTGGTTTTACATGCAGTTCCTCTTCGAATCAAGAATATTACTGTAATAATAACGGTGATGATACTTTAATGATGATGAAGGCTCGGGTTCATCAAAACTGGAAATGATCACATCGACGATAACAGCAGCAAGAATGTTCCAGTAAAGCCATCTGATAGCTGATTAAGAGGAAATTTACTGTCTTCTGGTGGGATCCACCTTCAGCACAGGCACACTTCCATCCGAAATGGATGTGATCTCAACAGTGTTGTTCTTTAGCTTTATTTCTGAAGTTAAATGTTTTTTTTTGTTTTACCACCGTGTTTGAAAAAGATTCCTAGACCTTTATTTCGTTTCATAAACGTAGTCTTAGAGCAGTTTACTAAACATGAAGCATTTGATTTAAAAATCACATAAAACTATCTAAAATCGTTATTTGAAATGAGTCTATGCTCTGAAATAGGATGTGCTTGAATCCGGCATTTGTATCGTGAAGAGCCCCTGACCCAAATCTTGACTTTTAAGTGTTTTTGGAACTGTTACTAATTTTCTGCTTTATTTATTATTTAATTGTAAACTATACAAATCAGTCAATTGATGGTTCTCTGATTTCCATTTCTATTTCACCTCTTTTTCAGTTCTTCCACGTGGATTTTGGTCCTAGTAATTATATCTACCGCAATAGTGACATCCGCCACGATATCCTTTATTATATTTTTATTTATTATTATATTAAGAAAGTGTATCTGGCGTTGCGTGCTGAAACAGCGTAAGTAGAGCTTATTGACTATTCTATTAATTATTTTTCGTTTCATCTTTTTGCTCTGTAGCCGTAAGCGCCCTGTCGGCTTCCTCTGGGGAGGGGGAGCGGGCTAAAGTGTGTTGACTAAGGGGTAGGGGGCGTCAAAGCAGAGAGGTATTTCAGATGACCTCCGAATTGCAGCAGAGATG